TGCCCTCTCCTCCCCCGCCGCTGCCTCTGTATCACAGGCATCAAGAGAGCGTGGAAAGCAGGAGCCGGTGATGGGGAAAGCTGGCTTAAAAGCTGGTTCCCTCCAGCACTCTCTCTTTGTGATGGTGAGGGGGCAGGGGAGGCAGAGCTGGAGCGGTCCCAGAGCCAGCGTAAGCCATGATTGTTCAGCCCCGGCTCGTGCCACTCATTGGAGGTAACCCTGCTGCAACTCTGCACTTTAAATGTAGTAAGAGCCACTGGGCTCATTTAAAATGCAGACCCTCAGCTGTGGTAGCAAGCAGCCTCCTTTATCGATTAATCAAGTAGTTGATGGAAATTCCATCAACTACTTGATTAGCTAATTAACTGTTAACATCTTCAAAATATCCCCAGGTTTTTACACCTAGAAGCTGTGACAGACTGTAGCATCTTTCTGATAAGATTTAATTGTAACTTCATTTTAAATGAGAAACTTTTTTAATGGTATTTTTAAAAGCAATACAATTGATGGTTTTTAAAACATCACTGATTTTTATCCTCCTTGGTATAAAATTTTACTGCAATACTTCAGAAAACTTAGTTTTGATTTCTTTTTCTTGCATTTGCTGACTTTGTACAATCTTGTACTAGTTTCTGCTGTATTAATAACTATATTAATAAATAAGTGTAATCTACTCTTTTAGAGTGCTACCACAACTCAATTCTTAGGGGTGAATTATTATAGATAATTTTTTATCTGGTAGACATCCTTAGAATTCTTATGGTTCAAACTGAGTGTGATGCTTTCATAACAGGAACAGAAAACCCAGCAAAGGAGAACAGAATTCAAAGATTTAGCTATCTGAAAATGGTGTAGGTGAGGGAGAATTTCTAGCAAAATTTAACTCGCTGAGCCTCAGTAGGTCACAATTATGAATTCTGAATTCAGAACAAACTGCTGAGAAACAGGGCAGACTCTCTCCCCAAAACTGGGGGTTATTCATCCTTAAGATACATCAACAAAAGCTAGGAACAGTAGTAAACTTCATACTAGCTACCACAAAGTCAGAAATATAGCCTCCTGAAGTATTCCAGTCCTGGATTTAATAGATACTAGACTTAATGATGAATAGTTATTTAAAAGTAATTTAATCGACCAAATGGTTCTTTCCAAAGAACCAGCTACATACCCCAGTCAATATAAAACTGAGATCTTACTCAATCACGCTATTGCTAATCCTTTAGTGCCTAATGTAAAAAGGTTTATTTATAAGAGAAAATAAAGAGGTAAGAGATTAAATTAACAGAATCAATACATAAAATAATTACAAAGTTCTTGGATCAGATTTGAAGAAATAATGGCACAAACTGCTATCTTGTTAAATCTCTGGCTGCTTTCAATTGACTAGAAGATCTCCTGTCCCTTGTTGGTGTTCCTCTGAGTACAAAAATAGGAAAAAAGAACAGAACATAGAGGTTTCCAAGGCCTTTTATGGCTTTTTCATGTTGAGGGAAACTCAATGTTTCAAGCAGAGCCCTCAGCCCAGTTGCTCAGGAAAATGTAGGCACACAAGATACAGTTCGGTACCGCTTGATCTATTCATGTGCCCTTATGTGCTTTGAGTCATAGTAGCATATTCTAGCTAAAAAAGTTATCAGGAAAGTTCATCAAGTGTGGATAAACTTCTGCTATGGCTCATTGTTTTTGTTGATGGTCCATCAATCTAAATATTCCCTTTACAATGTGCTAGCTAGGCCGGATGTAAATATGGTGTGGGTGTTACTCAGGCTCAAACATATTGGAAATACAGTTGTACAGCCACTATTCTTAATTTCAGATACAAAAATGATGCATGCATCCAAATAGGCTAATCCTATTTAGCAAATCTTAATTTTTCCATTGACACCTTGTGCCAGGTGAGGTCACAGAATACCCCTTTGGGGCTGCTTCCTGGTGTACTGACAAAGCCACTGACACTAGCCCCCTTGCTCTCTGGGGCTTCTCATAAGCCTGTCCTGCTGGGCCAGATCTCCTGGTTCTCCCCCAGCCAGGGCACAGAGCTGAGCTCACCACCCCACTCAAGAGTAATACAGACACTGAATCTCTTCAGGTCTGAGGAGAATGCATTTTTGGGCATAGCTTTCAGGAAACCCACTCCCCAGCTGGGATCAGAACCCCAAATAAATCATTCAGGCAAGCCCCCTTTAACAATGGAAGGAGGATGATTACTGATTGCTTCTCCAGGTATTAATTATTTACATTGAACTTGATAGTAAATAAAAGTGATTTTATTAAGTACAAACTTAATAGCAGTAGAATTTAAGTGGTTGCAAGTGACAAGACAGTGCAAAGTGAATTCCAGATTTAAAATAAAATACACAGCTAATTATAACACATTAAAAATTACTGCAATCTTACCCTAAAACTGTTCTTATTTCAGCTAAACCTTCAAGCCAAGGAAGATCTTTTTTTTTTTTTTAACCTGGGATCATGCCAAAGACCATTAGCCTGCAAACTTTTGTATCTTAAATAAGCCTTTCTTTTGAGCAGGAATTCTTTGTTTCTACATTCTCCACTTCCATGGAAAATTTTCTGGACAGATTCTACCAGTTGGGGTGGTCACATATCTTCCTAAAACCAACCACTGCTTAGAACTGTGGTGTCCAACATCCTAGGTACTAGCCACATGTGGCTGGTTGGCTGTCTGAGTGTGGTTAGTTGGCTTGAACAATGTGACTATTTTGCCAATTGAGTGTGGTTGGACACCACGGGCTTAGACTTATAGGACAAAAGAGGCTGGTTATAGATGATCACCCAGATGTTGAGGGAAACATCCTTGAGGGTGTTGGCACATTTAAAACCATAAACCATTCCATAATCCATATTTCTAGCAATACATACAAGAATGATACATACACCAAGATAAGATACACAGATCCAGCAGATTGTGACATTAAAATTGGTAGGTTATATGAGGTATTTTGTCCAAAGCACTTTTTAGTTATTCATATTTGTATCCAAAGTCAATTTTGTAAAGCACCAATGGATGGGGGAGTATCTGTCACACACCTTACATGATACATTTTATACAAGATTCATTGAAATTATACAAAAGTGGTAGCAACAATGAGCAACATAGTCATATTTGAATTACATGATGTCATAATAGGAGAAGGAGAATTCTTGGCTCTGGGAAGGGGGTGAGGGTGCACGAGTAAGGGCAGGGGGCTGTGAGAATTGGGGAAGTTGGGGTTGTGTTCCCTCTAAGCTGCACAGCTTCACAGGTGATTAATCAGCCCCGTCCAGTCAATCAGCTCAGTGCATGGAGCCCTAAGCCTCTGACAAAGTGGGGCTGATTAATCGTCTGTGAAGCTGTACTGCCCTGCAGCTTAGAGGGAACACTGGTTGGGGCAGAGGGTGCTGGAGTGAGAGCAGGGGCTGAGGGGCACAGAGTTCAATGTACGTGGGGGGGCTCAGGGCACAAGATTCAATGTGTGGGGCACTTACAACATGGGAAGGGAGGTGGTGGTGTTCAGGGAAGGGGGCTGGAAGGCTGAGTGGGGGGAGCTTACCAGGGTTGCCCACGGCAGCCAGGGTAACACTGCTCTGACGATGGTTTCTCCTGTAGCTGGCCACTGAGGTCAGCCCCAGACTCCCCACTTGTCCAGGGGGGAGGCTCTGAGGGTTGGCTCCAGACTCTAGTGACTCCCCATGCCTTGCAGCTGATCTGGGGAAGTGTCCAGTGGGCCTTCCCCACCATGTAGCTGGTCTGTGGAGGTGGAGCTCCAATCTCCAGTGGCTCCCCCCATCACTAGTCTCATGGAGACAACGCTCTGGGGGCTAGCCCAAGCTACCAGTTGCCCCCCATCCCACCACTGGTCCTGGGGCCTGAAGCTGGTTAGTATCTCTAGAGATGCTAACATGTACCTAAGTACACAGTTAACCAATGTGCCTGGGCTCATTCTTTAACCCTCTTGGTTACATCCAGCCCTCCGCACCCCTGTTGCCTCTGTATCAGAGGCAGTAGTGCAGTGAGGAGAGGGCAGGCAGGAGCTGCCTGACTGCCTGATATAGAGGCAACAGTATGTGTGTTGGGCGGGAATGGGAGCAGGTGCTCCTGGGGAGCTGGCTTAAAAACTGACTCCCTGTGAGCAACAACTCCCCCCACTTGTGTAAATGTGTAACTACTAAAACATTCTGTGGTTTTACATTTACACAAATACATACATTTTAACATCCCTAATCTTCTTGAGGGGAAGAGGGAGCGACTTCAGGCCTCTCCTCTGTAGGGGGAGAGGAAAATCTCCTTGGTAGGGAGATTGGGCTGCAATTCCTCGCCCCGCCTCTCTTTGTGGGGTGTCTCGGGAGGGGTGGAGGGGGGACACACACTGCATTGCTTAGCCCTGGGATTGGTCTTGGGGAGGCATAGTGGTGGGGATGGTGGGCTGAGGGGCTCTTTCCTCCCCTCGGTCCAGCAGTTTGTGGTAGGGGTGCCACTTAACCTGGCTGGTGACCAAACATTTGGAGCCCCATCCTCAGATGGACACTGTCCTGCCAGTGCAGCTGTTCCCAGTGGTCACTGCAGTATAGCTGTCCCTGCACTCGTTGCCTCCCAAAGGTCAATCTGCATATAGCTCTCCCTCCAAGCAGCCCCCTCCCTTTCCGTGTTATGGAAAACAGTCCCAATCCAGGCACTTCCCATTTTCCTGGCACAGTGAAATCCCGACCTTGCTTTAAGTTTGGATAAGAGAAAGCTGATTACCAAATTTGGTGATCCTAGCTCTTTTCATTTAGGAGGAGTTCTTGAACAAATGAACTTGTGTACTGATGGACTTAAAGATGCCCAAACTCTCTAAAATATCTATCTATCTAAATACAGATATAGATTCGTTTTCTACATGATAATTTCTCAGATGACTGCTTGAAGTGTCTAAAACACAGCCACCTGTTTAAGCAGGGTTTTTTATGTTACTTTGTAAGATGTTGCTGGACTCAGAAATACTTTTATTTTATATTTCCAGAACGCCCTATACCCTTTGATCATATGATGTATGACCATCTACAAAAATGGGGACCCCGCAGGGAAGAGGTGAAATTTTTTCTTCGGCATGAGGAATCTCCAGCTGAAAGCAATGAACAGAGTAAGTACTCTTACCTATCACTACTTATCACAGATAATAACTAATCCTAATTAATCAAATTGCTTCATAGAATTACTTATGGGAAGGCATTACAATTGTTAGTACACATCACAATTCGGGGAACCTGTATTCCTCCCTCTTAGTTCAGTAAGGGCACTCCAAGCTGGCAACAGACTTCACCGGAGCCTAGGTAAGATTGGGGGGAAGGAGGAACTCCACTCCGGGCACCTGGAAAGGATAGGCTTTTGAGCAGAAGGGGCAGGGCTGGGAGCAAGCCTCCCCCACCCAGCCCTCAGTGCTGCCCGGACGGCACAACTATTTAAAGGTCCCGGGCCTCTGGCACTGCTGCTGTCATGGTAGCAGCCTGGAGCCCCAGTCCCTTTAAAATAACCTGGCAACAAGGCAGTGTTTCTTTGCCACGCCCTCCTTTTGGTGGCCCTAGGAGCACCCACTCATAGGTTTCTGACACTCCCACCCAAGTCATACTAGAATCACAGAATGGGAAATAACCTCCAGAGGTCATCTGGTCCAGTCCCCTGCACTCATGGCAGAACTAAGTATTATCTAGAGATTATCCCTGACAAGTGTTTGTCTATTCTGCTTTTAAAAATATCCAATGATGGAGATTCTACAACCTCCCTAAGCAATTTATTTCAGTACTTCACCTTCTTGACAGGAAGTTTTTCCTAATATCCAACCTAAATCTTCCTTGCTGCATTTTAAGCCCATTGCTTCTTGTCCTATGGTCAGAGGTTAAGGAGAACAATTTTTCTCCTTGCTCCTTGAAACACCCTTTTAGGTACTAGAAAGCTGCTATCATGATCCCTCTAAGTCTTTGTTTCCAGACTAAACATACCGGCTACGTCTACACTGGCACCCTTTTCCGGAAATGCTTAAAACGGAACAGTTTTCCGTTATAAGTATTTCCGGAAAAAGCGCGTCTACATTGGCAGGATGCTTTTCCGGAAAAGCACTTTTTCCGGAAAAGCGTCCATGGACAATGTAGACGTGCTTTTCCGGAAAAAAGCCCCGATCGGCATTTTCGCGATCGGGGCTTTTTTGCGGAAAAGACTACTGTGCTGTCTACACTGGCCCTTTTCCGGAACAGTTTTTCTGGAAAAGGACTTTTGCCCTAACAGGAGCAGCATAGTTTTTCCGGAAAAACACTGACAATTTTACAGTAGATCGTCATTGCTTTTCTGGAAAAGCAAGTGGCCAGTGTAGACAGCTGGACAATTATTCCAGAAAAGCGGCTGCTTTTCCGGAATAAGTGGCCCAGTGTAGACACAGCCACCCAGTTTTTTCAGTCCTTCTTCATAGATGACTTTTTCTGGACCTTTAATCATTTTTGTTGCTCTTCTCTGGACTTTCTCCAAATTGTCCACATGTTTCCTGAAATGCAGCAACCAGAACTGGGCATAATATTCCAATTGAGGCTTCATCAGCACAGTGAAGAGCGGAAGAATCTCTTCTCTTGTCTTGCTTACAACACTCTTGTATATGTTGAACTGATTGTTCCTTCCTAAGTGGAGTACTTTGCATTTGTCTTTATTTTATTTCGTTATATTTACTTCAGACCATTTTTCCAGTTTGTCCAGATCATTTGAATTATAATTCTATCCCTCAAAGCACTTGCAACCCCATTTCAGCTTGAAATAATCTGCTAAAATTTATAACTGTACTCTCTATGCCAGTGGTCCCCAACACGGTGCCTGCGGACACCATGGCGCCTGCGGGGGCATTTGTGTGCACCCGCCAAGTGCTCGGGGCTGGCCCATGCCCCGGGTGCGTGGCGCATGGGGGGCGCCGGCCCCGGGAGCGTGGCTAAGTGGCCGCCTGTGCCCCGGGTGCA